TTGTCTTGTCTAGTTAGAATTGTTGTTAACGGCATACTTATTAAACGGATATCTTCGTCTTTATTCCGGGCAAACTTCGAACTTTGTTCATTTCCTCAGCTCAAAATTCACGCCGTAAAAGATTCTTGATCAAAACGATAAAATTCTATCATGTTACATATATGTATATGTTACATATATACATTTGAATACCCAATAAATTGCAACGTATAATGTATGATAAAAGAAAACGTAAACTACAAAGGAAGCTACTTCGACATTTTCGTATTTAAAAATTCTGCACATTCAAAATAATTACTTATAATGTAAAATGAACGTAAAGAATGTTATTTTATCAAAAATTATTTTATTAAAAAATTTAATATAAATGAAGATTTAAATACTGTATGTTTTCTTTTGTTGCGTATTTATCCTATTTATTTATCTAAATCTCGCGTACTTATTATTCGCTCATATCATACTATTATTTCCTAATATCGAAGAATTGATTCACGCCCGGTGCTCGCGCATATTAGGTGTACTCGCGTCGCTTTCGCAAATGGTCTTCCCTCGTGCGGAAGAACGGAAAATCCCGTAGCTCGGTAGCTCGGCGTTGCACGCAAGTTTCAGTGCTTACGAGCAGTTATGGAGGGCGCATACCTGCATATTTCATGAGCAAACAGACTTCAGTCCCTGTGGCATGCGCTGCAACCAACCCCGTTCGGTGTGACTAGCCAAGCTTGTGCGAGTGCCGGGGCCAGCTAATATGAAAAAGATTTCGCCGTCACACGGATTTCCGATCCAAAGTAACGCTGTTTCAACCGCCTTCCGAAGCAATGAATTATGCGAAAATTTTTCTAAGGCAATAATTGCTTTTTTTTTTATGTAGCTTAAATATTTTTGCGATACGTTATGTATATATATGAAATTTTTATTCATTATATTATCACACAATGATTCATGTATTATATGAAATATAAAAGATTTTCGATTTATGTATGTAATTTACATAGGCTATGGAATAATCGATAACATTATGATTTAAAGGCATAAATTTTCTCTTCTCATAAATTTTACTTTTAATTTAATAGAGATGATAAGAGAGAAAGGAACTTTCCATCATGCAGAGGAATTTAATCCCAGTCAGCAGTAAGGAACAATGAGCAATTATTTGCTTTATAATGTTAGTCCATTATCATTGAGATTGTGCGCCGGAATGACCGATAACATTACGATTTGTCGATTGAACATTACGATATTTAGGTTATATATGCAGAGATTTTATTCTTTAAATATTTTCAGTATTTTTTTCTAAATAAATTTTTCTGAATAAATTCCTGATGTTTTTAATTAAAAAATTATTATCAAAAAATTCATATCATTAAACTTGAATTAATTAATTATTTGTAATAATACATTTTAAATAATATTTAATGAAAAAACAGCAATTGATTTTTCTTGATAGTAATTTTTCCAAATAAATTTTTGATTCGCGTTCTCATCCGGAAATCGGTAGCCATAATATTTTGAATGCAATCACAAGGAAGTACACACATCGGTAAAAAAATCTACACGAATAATTTTTCAATAACGGAGTTATGTACATACGACGGGCGTATTTTTTACAGTAGATGATTTATTAACTGAATATTACGTCAATATGCCTAGTGTATATTTTATGGACGATAAATTTGCGCGACTTCAGTGGATTTTGCGTAGATCCGGCAGTGAATATTTCATAGATTGGAGATAAAATAGAATTTGATTCGCATTTGTGAATATTCTCTTACGAAAAAAGATTATTGGCAAATATTAATGAATAAATGCTACTAATATTCCTTAAATATTCCTCTAAAGTTATCGATAAAGCACATCAGCGTTATGATCGATGGTAAATTAATGACATATGTAAAAAATTCTTCTCCTGACAGTAATAACTTATTATTATGTTTATTTCTAAACACTATTTTTCATTTTCTATTACAAATAAATAATTTTTTACATGTAAAATCTAATACAATAATTTTTCCAATACTAATCTCCTATATGTGAAATAATTATTTGACATTATCTCTTTATCTTTATACAATAGTTTTTATCTTTTTATGTTTATTATAATTAGTATTTTATCTTCACAACAAAATTAATATATGACTTCTACAAATAATAAATAATGCGATAGCGCGATAATATAATCAAATATATACGACACAATAAAACATCACTCTAACATTACTATTTTTTCTCGTGGTTAAAGTTCAAACATGTAACTTTGTCATGCATTTGTACAAAATAAATATTCTATCAAGTATTATATAAGTCAAGAAATTATTAAAACATGAGTTAATGATTTAACAACAACAGTTACTGCAATATTTGTACATACTCGAAAATTTTGATTTGATTATTTTCTTTTCTAGTTTATACCAATATGATTGGAATTCAGAGCCGATAACTGATGTAAACGTACTTCTCGCTCTAGTTTCTATTGAAATTATTGGCTAATTGTCATCGCAAGACTTGCACGACGCTCGTGGTGAACCGCGCGGCAATTCCTTGTTTGCTTATTTGTCTCGTGTAAATAAGCGCTCCGCGGGTCCCTACTTTCGTCGCGCAAACAATACGAACGAGTAGCCATCACGTTTTCGCGTTTCCACCCCCGTCGAGGACGTCATCTACCCTTCTCGCGTGACGACTCGCGATATCCTACGTATGTCGTGGACCGTGGAAATTATTACTTCGATTCGCGCGCACGAATAATAAATCGCACGCTGATTACGCGCCTGGGACGCGAGCGTTATCACTCTGTTCACAGGAGCCTGAAATTCATTCTGTCCTACTTGCATGAGGAATCCATTTCTTTTTATCCCTTCTTTGTTTTGTAGAAAATAAAAACCGAGGTAATGTAAAAATGTTATTCATTTTATATCGGCGCGTTTTCATATCAATTTTCAATAATCTTAAATAAACATCAATCTCGAAACTAATTGTTGATGAAAATAGAACTAGAAATTTAATATAAATAAAATTAATTTTTATATTTCTTCTCTCTAAAGAATAAAATGTCAGTTTTTTAAAGATTTAACTTTTCTTAATATAATTTAAAAAATTATTATAATTTAAATACAATACAATAATATATTTCCAAAATAAAAAATTTAAAGACTCATCCAAAAATTTAGAAAATCTATAGGATTTAAAATCGTAAAATTTATCGGATCTTTTGTGAGATGTAAGATTTAACATATTATCTCAAATTAGTTGTATATACTGAGAAAAATGTGTATACTAAATTTTAATAAATATTTATTAAAATATTATATTAGTAAATTAAACATTTATTTATATTAAATACTTATTCAATAAAAAATGATTAAATTAAATGAATGGTATTTCTTGTATCAAATAAATATATCCTTATATTTAGTAAATATTTTAATTGATACTTTTTCAAACAAATAATTTATTAAAATTTAGTATATTTTTCAGTGTACTTAATGAAGATCTCACTAGTTTTATTTCTGCAATCAATGTCAGTTACATACCGATTTGAACCAAAGAATGCTATCTCTCATAATGGTAGAGAGAGAGAGAAAGAGAGAGAGAGAGAGAGAGAGAGAGAGAGAGAGAGAGAGAGAGAGAGAGAGAAGGGTTATCGTTGTCCGTCTCGGTTACCGAAGGGATTTATTTTCAATTAGATTATCGCGGGATACAGAGAAATCACGACGGCGCCTCGCCTCGTCGACAATGCTCACCCCTTTGCCCCTCGTATAACATCGCGGCCCTTTCTCCTCGGCAATCGAGCCGCGACAATGCGAACAATGGCCGAGGCGGTCCGGTGTGACCCATGCGCCGCTTAATATCGTCGCCGATAAAGGAACCGGCGATGTTTTACAAACAGCTATGCGCCACGCGCCGCACCCACCCCCTGTCAAAACATTCCGAACGGCCGCGCCGTGCCGGTGTGCCACTATGATGGGGTAAGTCACGTGTCGCCCTTCGTCTTCCCCGAGACGGCACTGGGAAATTACGAAGTGCCGGATGCAACTTTTGGGAACTGTGAAGCACGAAGGATCGACTACTCCGTTTCGTGGGATATTACGGAAACTAACAAATTTTATTAGACATTGCGCAATTATTTGGCTATTTTTTTAACGTTTTCCTTTTTATAATTTAAGCGAAAGAATAATTTAATTTGTATAAATCATCAACTTAACAATTATACATAAAAAATGGAAGATGAATCTGTGAAATAACCAAATGCATTCCTATTATTTGCATTTCGTTATTTTCTTAACGTTCTTAACTTTTTAAATAAAGCTTACTGCAATTTAATTTGAATTACTTATCAACCTAATAATTACATATGAAAAATGGAAGATGAATCTGTAAAAGAGTAATTATTATTTTAATTTAGCTGTTTTTTTAACGTTCAACTTTTTCTAAGGAAGCAACTTTTTCTCATGACAATTTAATTTGAATGAGTTATTAACCTAACAATTATATATGAAAGTTAATAAATAGAAAGATCTATGAAATATTTTATCTGCATTATTTTTATATACTTACATCACACATCAAATTGACATATATGTATTCACACACATACATACACACACACACACATATATATATATATATATATATTCCTGTATATACATGCATTCATGTATACATTCACGTATCATTTATATGTATATAGACTTGGGCCAAAAGTTTGAAAACATTTTTTAAAAATTGATATTTTAGGGGAATTACTTATTCATATTTCATAACAATGTGTTTTTTTAACAATAATCTTTTAAATTCAATAACAATTGTTGAATCTAAAGAATTATTGTTAAAAAATACATTGTTATGGATATTTGAATATCAATAACTTCAAAAATGTCAATTTTTAATATGTGCTTTCAAACTTTTAGCCTGGAGCATAAATATTCTTCTGTATTTTATGTGTATAATTTTTTCACAGATTCATCACTTTTACAATTAAAATAATTAAAGTATAATTTGTTACTCACAAAAATAATACGCAGCGGTGGAGTTGCGTTTATGTTGACCTGTAAAATATAAATATCAAAATTTTAGCAACGTTCAAAATAATAAGAATTTCAAAAATTAGTCATATTAATTCCTCTCTCTCTCTCTCAGGTAAAAAATAAAATAAAAAATATTCACCTCATGGTTGCTCCACCGTCGCCTAATGCCTCCCAGGCCTCCTCCAGATTCCATCCTTATGCACACACGCACAACACAGTCACGAACACACGATCGCGCAACACTTTATACGATACTTTCGTCGTTAACCCCGTATGTATACTTCATTATATCGTGATGGAAGAACAATGCGAAAAAAATACATTCGATACAAAGATGGCTATGTGTTTCGATTTCGATATAAGTAAAATAAAGCAAAAGGCTGATTAAATGAGATACGTTTTTTGAAACATGACACGCATTTCTATATCATTTTATCCTTTTTTAATATTCTATGAACAACAAGAAAGTGAAATAATACATCACGCGTGAAACAGAAGATACTCATGTATGTACACTTACGTCGGATTCAGCTAACTGGTACGAAAATTGATTACGAATGTTGCCCGTCAATTAAAAACGTCTTCCTTATCCACGACGAAATAATCATCGGCCGTAGATTAGATTAATAGATATTAATCGTACAAGATATCTAAGGTAGTGTCCTTGATATTTACGATTCGCGGGAGATGTGTAATCGTGAAGTGGTCGTTGGAAAACGATTGTACCTTTTTTTGAATTTTGATGCGCATTTGTCACGATTGAGAGTTTAGATTAGGATGCGTTGTTACCAACCACTCGAGATACGTCACGCGAAGGACAACAAGGCGTACTCTAAACGGTGCGTTACGCTACATGCGGCGAAAAAGAAAACAAACACCATACATCTCTCGTGGCTGGTCAAACGAAATATTTTGTCAAGGTAAAATATTTAACTCACTATGGAATTAAGGCGTACCGAACATTTCGTTCTTAGGGTGGTATTCAAAGTCCGTTCTTATTTTAGGACTGTCTTAAGTAATGTTTTAAGATGCTAATGCAATCCTCTGATTGGCTTATGACATCTTAAGACTGTATTTAAAACATTCTCAAATATTGGGCGCGTTTAAAGCTACTAGCCTGTTCGCCGAGCGATTGAATGTGATTAGTTGGATCTGTAATATAAGTAATAATCAATCATATTCATTTGCTCGGCAAGCAGCTAACCGTTTTGTCGACTTGAACGCACTCATTATCGACTATGAAGAGCTAAATGCTTCAACTTATCGAACTCGGGTGCAATTCACTCCACGCTGCAAATACTTTGATTGGACAATTTGTAAAATTCTTTCTTCTGATTGGTCAAGGAAGCATTTACAGCATTACATTTTATAATGTACATTTTTATAATGTCGATTAATTTGAATCTCGATTCAAAACTTATTCTTTATCCTTTTCTAATTCTTAGAACTAGAAAAAGATGAACAGTTGAATCGAAATTAAAATTAAACTACATTGATAGAAATGGACATAAATAGATCGCATCTCTCGATAGTTGTCCGCCATCTCTCGATAGTTATTGCTTATACGACTCGCGCCTTACTTCACGTTCTTGATTCGGAAATCACGATCGAAGTCGCGTCGCTACGTCGAAGTCGTCCGAGGAACAATTCTCTTTTCTAAGTATCAGGAAATACAATAAAACACACAGATATACCTACGTACGAGTATAAAGTGATTAAATTCGTATATAACAATTTCCGTTCACTTTGTATCGTTTCTATATTTGCTTCAAGCTCGACCGAACGAAGCAAGATGTAACCTGCCGTGACAAATATCGTCGTTTCGCTACGTTTTACGAATCGGTTATCGTGACAGTTAAGAAACCGCAGTGTAATAATAGTTCATTACTCGTGAGAAATCATCGCGCCTTCTGCTCGGGATCGTGTCGCGAAAAGTAATAATTGGTAATAGTGCGACGATCAACCACTCGGAATGGCGCGCGTCTTTACCTGTTCGTTCGAGTTACGGTAAGGTGACCTACGCGTGACGTCACATAACACATTCCTTGCGAAGTGAACGGCTGAACGCCGAGTCCTACGCCGCAGCGAAATAGTGCGTTACAAAATGGAGATGCTCGTCGAATCTCTGCTCTTCAATTATTAATAATTTCGGTAAGTGAACTGTCGCATATCACTTAACTCTTAGCACACACGATGATCCTCCGATCTTTTATTACACACGATGAATCGTTCGTGTTTCAGGTTTAATTTTTATTACTTTTATAAACACACAAAAATTATTCAATGATTCTTATATACTCTCTGAATTCTTTGAAGTGGAATCTCACTCTAAAGAGTGAAAATTGAGCAATCTTGAAAAAGAATTGCTCAATTTTCCATTTTTGGAATGACATTTTATTCTTTAGAGTAAGATTAAAAGTTTTAGAGAGTACTTTATAAATACCTTTTTACAAAGTAATGTAAGTAAGGTTGTATATCTAAAAAAATAGTATATAAATATTACAACTAATCGTTTAAATCTGTAAATACTTAACATATAATTTCTATAATTTCTTATTGTTTCGATTTTTGCTTCGAGCGAACCGATAGAACGAAGCAAGATATTGGACAAATATTCGTCACCTCACTGCGTCTTACGAATTGGTTATCGTAAAAGTTAAGAAACCGCATAATGTCTGATAATAGTTAATTGCTCGTAAAAAACCGCCGCGCCTCTTCCTCGATAAGTACCTGTTGCGATCGCGTCGCGAAAAATAATAATACGACGACACTCGGAACGATGTACGTTTTCATCTGCCGCCCCTCCCTCCCCGCGAGCCACGATCGCACGAGCATAACAAGATGACGTACACATTTCATACGTAAAACGAACGCCGAATGCCAACTGCCACGTGCTAGTGAAATACACATGCTTAACGCGTTACAATTGTTAGGAAGCACATGCTCACCGAATATTCTGCTCTTTAATTAATTCCAATGGATTATAGTGTATATCATTTGTACACGAGCTAATTGTGCATAAGCTAATCACAGCGCTAGAAAAAAAAATAAAAAAAGTTTCTTTCGCAGAAGTCGCTGTGATTGATAGTGGGCAATTGCAATAATATGCAAGTGAATCACTTCTTTCAGTGATTATTGTCGCATATTATACTTAATTCTTAGTGTACAATGATTTTCTGGCTCTTTATTACATACGATAAGTTGTTCGTGTCCTGGGATAATTTTCATTACTTTCATTACTTTTAGGTACAAGTATACAAAAATTATTAAATGATTTATACATACATTTCATATGTATATACAAGTTCATATGTATATACTTGTATAAGTATATATGTACATATATATATATATATATGTTATATATGAAATATACATACTTTAATATGTTTAAAATAAACTTGTGAGATTGCAACGCAAAAATTACACAGGATTGATTATGATTTATAATGGAAGATCTTCAGAAAGTATTTGAAAGGTGTATTTAAAAAAAGAAAATATGTGTACATAAATGTTATAATTAATTACTTGACTCTAGTATGTTGATAAGATTAAATGCTCAGGATACGAATAACCTAATTATGTATTATAAGAGTTAAATAGAGCACTTATTTTTAAGATTTATCTTTACTTAATCGAAGAATAATCTTTATTTATATATTAAATATGATGTGATTAATTATGATTCCTTTACCGACCAAAATATAATCCATGTTGATGACTGTTGAGTTGTTGTACGATTGTTTTGTTTCGTATTACGAATTTATTTCAATTTGCGATGAATTTTGATTTACAATTGTCCTTCTTCAGGCAAATGAATTCATTAAGAATTTAATTAAATAATTGTGTTCATGGTCAAGCAAAATATTCGCGGTATACTAATTGCCGACAAATTCAAACAGAATACTATAGCAGATTGACATCAATTGTGTCAGTATTAATTCATTCATGGTTCTAAATATATGTATCATATATATAGTGGTGTAATATCGGACGTCTGTATATCATATATGATATGCAAGCTCTATTTTTAGGATGCACGTGCATCAGGTTTGATAATGTGCTTCATATATATTTTTTTAGATTTACAACATTTAAGTTGTGTATACAATTTTAAATATTTTACAAACTGATACTTATTAATATAAAGTCTATTTTTTAAATATTTGATCAACAAAAACGAGCTGGACAATAAACTCACATATTTTATCAATCGACATGATATGAATAACATTGCTAGCAGAAACTGAGCAGCAGTAGAGATTGTGTTCAATTTCTACAATAAATCTGTCATATTTTGTCAGCAGATTTTGTTACATTTCTACTGGCATTCTGCTAATAAAATTTTGCAGACACTTCGTAAAATCTATTTTCAATAAATTTGGCACTCTTTTTCTCTTCTTCTCTCTATCTCAGTTTACTCTAAAAATTTTATAACGCAATTTATATTGCTTAACGCATTTCTTAAAAGCCACAATATTTCTAAATCAGAATTCAAAAATGTATATTAAATTTAAATCTACAAATATTGAATATTCAAAATAATGTTAACAATATTATAAAGAAACAACAAATATTTGATTTGTGATTAAATTTAAATCAGAATTAGTCTGAATTTTTTTTATTTGCGATAAAAAAAGAGTATAAAATTAAATGCGTTACTGATTTGTGGGCAAGAACTGCAAGCTGAGAGACAATTTTATCGATTATGGAAGTGTTTCGACCCTAGTGAGGACCCCATGAAAGACCGTGCCAGCATAAAGCGTATGGGAAATTGTGGGAATGATGGGGGACAGGTCGGTCGCCTCAGGGAATTGGTTTGCAATATCGTAGGACTTAGAGAAGTATCATCGAAGGATAGTTTACATCGGCTAGTACCGTGTTGCGATTAACTTTGCTCTACTTGACGGCGATTGCTTTTTTGGGCATGAGAGAGATGTGAGAATGACTTGTTAAACGCACGGATTGCGCGTGGGAACATTTTAAGCTACGAAATACATGACATGCATTCTTAAAGCGATATTGTTTATTTAAAATTACATATATTGAGTCAAAAATTAAATTAATTATTTTTTTGCTGTATTATTTTGACAATTATCAGAATTAATGTTTGTACGGTGTAGGTAATCGCTATACGGAAAGAACGATTTTGCTGAAATATTTAAAATTTAGCCAAATATAGATCTACAAATAATTTTGTTGAATCATCAAAGTAATTATGTAGAAAATTTTAGTATTATGAGCAATGCAACAAAAAAAAATTGATATTTTTAACAATTAGTTTGAACATTCTACATAATTATTTTAATAGGTTAACAACGTTATTTGCAAATTTATAGCTAAATTTTTAGATACTTCAGCAAAACTGCTCTTTCCGTATATAGATTCTATAATGTTTGCGTGTTCATTAAATTGCAATTGAAGAAACAACGTTGATATCCCAATATAAAATTATTCTATACAACAAACGTATAAAATATCTTTTTGCATCTTTAATATTTTTATGATTTTAATTTTTTATTGTAGAGATTTTTATATTTCATGAGTATAAAATATGGAGTGAAAATTGGAATGTGTGGAAGAGTTTATTGAGCATTTTTTTAATAACATCATCACTAAACGCTATAATACTGATAACGTTGTTGTTGGCAGGATAATAGTTGATAAACGATCAACATTTCGGTGATCACAAGATTTGTTAAGTACACAGACTGTTTCGCCGCAACGCGTCGACCAAACAAACGTGGCGCCATGTCAAAACGGCGTCACCCGTTTCTGATAATGCCGATTTACGATGCGCTTAACAGCCACTAATTATCTGATTTATCGTTGCACTAATGCGATTAACATCGTAGCCGGGCCTGCACCTATTCCGCGGCGGTACAGATTTGAAATTTCTCGACCATACAATCATCAGCGATTGCGCTAATGCGAAATGGTGTTTAAAGTATGGTACAGATGCGATTCGTTTATTTATACGTTTAACCGTAAACTTGGCAATGCCATTACGTAACAATGTCTAAGAATGTTTACAAGATATCTATCTTAAATCTCACATTTTCTGTTATTTAAAATAAAATTTAGAGTTTTCGAGTTTTTTGGGGGATTGAAGAAGTTGTACAGTCTTTTTAATAAATTTAGGAATGTGTATCAATAACAGAATGTTATTCTTTATTTAATTTAAGATTGATTTATTATATTATTGTATTAAACGTTCAAAAAGTGCGCGGTAAGAGACTGTATATATATATATATTTAAAGTCTTCATTATGAAAAGATAAAACTTCTAAATAGTTGGGATTAGATAATGTATATTAAGATAATATTTTATTTTTATCCATAATACTTTTTTATTGAATATTACGTTAAGAAAAATTATAAATTTGCTGCTGCACACGTAGTACAAATATTTGTACAAGTACCTTCTTTATTTGCATGTGCGCAAATAAATTCATAATACTTTCAGGGAATATTTCCAGGAACTAAAAAATTCTCAGTCCCATAATACATGCAAATACGTAAATAAATTTGTAAATATTAATTGAGGCAACAGCGTTATCAAACAGAGAGATACGTATTGAAAAGGTTAATCTCTCGATCAACTTTAATCCGATGTTTCGTTCCGATTACATTCGATAATTTTCCAACTACTTGTTTCTCGGTGTTTCTATGGCAATATTACATTTAACCTTGCACATTGCAAGTACACACGTAAGCACGTCATTATCGTTGTACATTGTGTATATTTGCATGTGCACGTCGACTACGATTTCGCACACCCATTCTCTGTTGATTCAAAATATTGTCACTATGTGTTCAACAATCTTCATTTAACGGTTCGAATTATTAAGATTGCACTGCATTACGCACAATGATTTATCAGCATTTGCCCGGCAAATATTCTTTTAATGTTTAAAGACCCCTCCCCTCGCCTCCCGGCAGCCGTCCCGCGTGGTGAGTAATTACAATGTAAATGTGTAAATATGTACAAAACATGTATCTACAGAGAGCGTGGAAATGCGAAACAATTACACAGTTTCCGAAAATATATACCGCGCAAATAATATCGCGCGTGTTTGCACATCGCGTACATTCAGATTTAAATTGCGGGTCAGGCAAAAGACGATTGAAGCTGCAAAAAATGGTGTCTCGATCTTCGATAGACAAATATTTTATGTAGCTTTATTCGACGACGTGCTATTTATTTGAATAATGTCTGTTTTTAAAAAACTTTTTGAAGGTTTAAAATTTATAATTAATTCGTATATCGTACAGTGTATATATGTATTGTATAATAATGTAAATGAAAATATTATTGATTGTGTACGTATACTCGTAATAAACATTTCAGTACACAATTAATTATAATATTATTATATTTATATATATTTATTTATATATGTATATAACATATTCTTCAATACATTGTGTTGTTTGGAAGCAAACAATTTTTTTTCAACTTATATTTTCTCTGTAATCAGGTCTTCAAATAATCATAAGACGTCAACTGCCCAACATACCTCATGCCGGGTAACACCATGGATTCTCATAAACATAGCAAACGCGTCAAGATCCCACAAAGGTCTTCCGGCGATATCCTGAGGCTGTGCTCGCCGCAGGGGTGCGTGTCTTTTTTTGAGTGTGCCCATACAAGAGATGTTGAGAAGCTCGAAGGGTGAGTAGCCGAACATTTACACGGTACCCAGCTGTGGCCCCGTAGTGCCCTGGTGGTGTTGTATACCGCGATTCTTTTAGAGGGGGCACGGCTTTGGGCGCGTGCTTACCCCACGCTGCGCGCTTGCCACCTGTTCCTCGACGGAGCCGCAGCGGGTGGTAAAAGGGGTAGTAAATTTGCCGTCGTTTCTATTATCTAATATACACCCGCTGATAGACAGATACGATAATAGAGACGATCTGATAAACCGACTTGCTTGATGCCGGCCGAGGGTGACCGGCAATCAGATGTGTTACTTCCGGTCTTAAAATTGATATCAATATGCGAGTTTGTACAAGATTAATAAATACATATAATTGAAACGATAGATTAATTGCAAGAGTGAATGATTTTAAAAGAACGAACAAAAGAGTGACAAAATAAAAATGTATAATAGGCACAATAAATTAAGCCTTAATGAGGCGATAGTAAAAAGCAATTTTGTTTAAATATTTTCAACAAAAAGTATCTTAGGAGAAAATATGCTATTTTTATGTATTTGTCATTGCCATTCTAATTATATAATTGCAGTTTTGGAAAGTTAAATAAAAAGAATTACGAGTGTAAATTACGAATTAGAGTTCTCTATTACAAGAGGAAGAGAGAGAGAGAGAGGGAATGGGGCGAAAAGAGAATTAATAATAAATTAAAAAAAATTAAATCCGTCTATAAAAGCTTAATTATTATTTATCATTTCATTGACAAAAAATTGAATCCGCGATGAAAGCTTAATTATTATTTATCATTTCACTAACTCTTTGACATATTTTGAGGGTTAAAATGACATCCGTAATTTGAATATTTTATCATGCATGTAATTCTAGAGAGGGAGAAAGAGATACTGAGTTATCAAGATTTTTATTTACAGCATTTAAATAAAATTGCACGACACAAAATATAAACATAATTAATGTAATGTATAAAGCTGAGTTTAATTTTTTTGATTAAAAATAAAAGTGTATATTCTGCTATCTATGAATTAATTATAATTGCAGAATGCAATTATAATTATGTAACTAAAATTAAATTTTGATATAAAAAATAAAAAGAAAAAAAGTACTCAGTAAAAAAACATGACACACACACAAAATTAAAATTTTCATATTTAGATGATGGAAACTTTTGCAACCAAAGTGAAGTATTGTATAAAATTGATGAGTTTACTTCAGGTGGTCGATCAACAATAAGTACTCTTTAGAATTACATATGTGCGATAACATTGTTAGTCAAATGAAATAAAAAATCATCCCGCACGTTTTACGATGTGCGTCAATCATAATTTTAGCATCACTTCGATCACATTTGTGCCGATTATTCTGACTTCGAGTCAAAGCGACAGACTTCGTTCCAAAGTCACGCTTCGCGCCATCTTCCGCGACGTCGCGGACATTTTATTCCCGTTCGGTGGAATTTTTCGTCACGGCGACACCTCGATCAATATTTGCGCAGCCGGGACTGGGGACCACGTCACTCGACCTTCCGCGACCATATGCGAACGCGGCCACGTACGCCACAAGCAGGCTCACGCGGGTTCGCTCTCGCACAATGTTGGAGACGCTCGGAGTCTGGCCTATGTGGGCATATGATTTGTTCTGCTGCGATTGCCTCTTTTGCATTCGATGAGAGGAACAGAAAAAATTAATAATAATTAATTATAATTCTTTTGTTTCCAATTTACTAAAACGATCTCATTATTACGTAATTATTTATTAACGAATTTGTTTTGTATTTAAATTGATCTCTTCTAGGTTCAAAAAATAACGTTTACTGACATTATCAATTTTCATTATTAATAATCAATATATTAATATGGAAGTGTTTGTTATTAATATATTGTTAATAACTTGATCAAAAATTGATTAGATAGATTAAAAATAATTAATATTTTTGGTAAAAATTTTCCGAAGTAGCTCTGCAAACTCAATCCTTCAATCCATTAAAAGTTAACATTAAAAATATATTAAAAAATTTCTGAAGAATTAGTGGACAATTTATCGCATTAATGATCTTTAAGGAAAAACGTATTTCTGTTATATACAATATATATATATATATATATATATACATATAAAATTAGTCAGGGAACAATTTTTTATCTAAAGCATTTCGATAAAAGAAATAAAAGTATTTCATATTCTTTATTTAGCTGTTTCGATCATAACAGCACGTCTTTCTTTTGATTCATTAGTGATACAATTGGACGATAATTCAACTGATTGCCCTGCAGTCTCGTAATTTGCAGCATTACATCCTAATTTTTAAAGTTCGTTTGCGCTTGATAGGCGATTACACGAAGTCGATAGTACGACATACGTGAAATATGCGATAGATTTAACGAGTCGTTAATGATCGCCGCAGATAATCCCGTTGAACAATTAATAGCGGATCAATAGGGTTTAACGGCGTGGCGGATGAACGTCATATTTTATAGATGTTTGATTGATATAGATTTGCAAATGTTTATCAATGTATGAACATTTTATTTGTGTCTATTTTTTTATTGTAGATATTATTTCTGAAAAAATATATTCAATTGTTTAAATTAAGTAATGAGTCTGTTGTGACTATTTCCACCAATATAGAATACTAACTTTAATCTCGATTCAACTTACTCTTCATCTTCATTTTTTTTTAGAGATTTTAAAGAAAAAAATGAAGAGTAAGTTGAATTGAAATTAATTCTACATTGATGAAAACGGGCATTATTAAATTAGTTTAATTTTAAATAAGTTTTAAATAAATAAAGTTTTAAATGAATAAAATAAGGATTATGAAATTGTGATTTAATTATCTGTGATTGAATTTTCGATATTCATAGTTTTTAAAGATATCCTCGGTTTTTTTAATATAAAAGTTTAAAATTAAATAATTCTAAAAAAATACCACTGTTATTGTTTTCTTGCGTGCGCTGTCGTTGATGTGTAAGCTTAAAATGATGTAAGAAAAGAGTATTTCAGTCACAAATTAATTATGCTAATTTCAGGTCCTTTGCTTATTCACGCGAATACGCTGTTAATTAGTAATTAGACAAGACATGGTATGACATCCCCTATCTCTCTCGACGTGTATTAAGTAAATACATAGACACGCACAGACAAATTTAACGTAATAGCGTTGACCGAGCAGTATGATAAGGAATATTGTGCCTAATTTGGTTGTTGATAAATCATTAAATATCACTTTTAAATCATTAGTTTCGCGTCAGTGAAACAATAATTCTCAAAATATTCTTTCTCAAAGTTCCAAACTACTACTGTGAAGGAATTACAACCTTATATTATATTTTAACTATTTTTATTCCTTATTATTTCATTACGATGCTACTTTATATGTATTACATAACATATGTTAATTTTTAATGTCTGTTTTCACCAAACAAAATTTCCACCGCAAATCGCCACGATTTATACGCCATTTTGATCCTTCTGATTCTCTTCCGTATGGAATATACGGGAATTCACAGTGGAAAAGCAGATGCAATTTCCTTCTCGGCGCGCAGAAAAAGGAAAGAACGAAATAGATCGCGGTACTAACCAGAACGACCATTCGCGTGTTTGCGGTACGCGTTATTTCCACGTTACCGGCGACCAATGGGAAAACCGTGCCGAGATCGGTGACGCTAGACCTCGGTACCCGGCCACGCTAAACGTTCGTAATGAGTGATTATCTCGGTTAGCCTAGTTAACACGTGGTACCAAGGTAGCGGCAAGTGCACACTGTCTATTTGCTCCCGACGACACGTGCCCGCGTACGGACGACAGGACGCACTTACGCAATTGCGCAACGACTTATTTTCGTTTTCGTAATAACGTCGTGCCATGGACTGTCGAAAAGTATTATTTTCCTAAATGGACCATTTTTATCATTATTATATTACAGCTTCTGAGACTCTTGTATCTTATGTTCGATTATTTTAAAAAGAGAAATATAATTGTACAAACCATGACCTTTTTGAAGAAGAAAACACTTGTTCGCGTTTTTTGTTGTGACTATGCGTACAGTTTGAAGTTGCGTACAAAAACTAATGAGTTTTGACGGTCTCAGTATTAGAAGCGATCTGTACAATTGAGTAATAATGAAAAAGTCTGCATATTTAGAAACAAAAAAATGAAATAATGGAATTACTATATTCCTTAGCTACTTGATTACTAATTGAACGTTGTAAAAATGTGCTGAAACACTTACTCGATAAAGGGAGAAAAGTGGGTCTAATGGCAAAAAAATTTAGATCCCAAAATTTTTACTGTTGCAAATGTAATTATATACTCATCATATTTAATAAAAATGATAGATATTTTCTAAATTCAGCTAAAATTCTTCAGCTATAAAATTAATCAAGCGCATTGTATTTTAATAAATAAAAATTATTTTTTTTTCATATTATATTATATACGTTTTATTAATTAAGACAATAAATTTTTTGTAATTTAAAGAAAAAAAATCTTATTAATAGCTTGAATGAAAAAAATTGTACAATTTTTTTTCCTTTTGCCAAAAAAACTTTCAAGTAGAGATAATGATTTTTGCCAATGGATTATTTAATTAAACATGAAGATAACGGAGAGAAGGAAAATCATAAATTAATTTGAATACATTTTAGAGAAGAGATATAAATTATGTTTATTGTACGATATAAAAACTTATAAAGATGGATTAATAATAATTTTAAAAAAGTAATATCAGTAATATATGTATAAGACTAATAAAACATGTGGAGAATAGAACATTTTTTCATCAGAAAAACAAAATAATAATAAAAGAAGTGAGAGTATATGTACAATGTATATTAGGTATCAGAATTACACAGATGTTTCTACGCGGTTTATCTTTATCTTAAGTACCAGTTAATGATAGCTATACCTTGCTTTAAATTAAACGCAGCTGTTTACTATCATCAATCAGCGTTTTATACATTTTTTGTTAGACAATAATGTTTAATATGTTATCGTTACAAATATCCGAATTTCATATAGTATTATTTATGTTTTCGAATATAATTGATTTGATATTCAATTTTTTTTTTGTTTGCAGTATAATGCTAACTACATTTCAAAACGTCCTCTGTCTAAGAAAAATTGTATTCAATATAAGCTAGATTGTTCCATCTTTCGATAAACTTCAGCTTATTCTCTTATGCACTTACTCTCTTACTCTTTTCTTTATCCATTATAGATAAATTACCAAATAGTTTACCTGAAGATGGTTCATAAATACAGTTATATAACTATATATTCTGAATAAAATTTTTCTTGAAGAGGACGTTTAGGAATGTAGTTTTTGATTTTATTTGTAACAAAGCTAAAAGTTAAACTGCTAAAAATAATTTATATTTTAACATTTCCCTGGGAGAAAAATTGTTTAATTTGCAAAAGAATTTCACTGATTACGAGTAG